CTCTAAATCCGTCCCTGAACATCCATGAAGTTGATAAGGGAGGGGGCTAATAAGTCGTGCTAAGGAAAAACGATGTATGATCCTTTAGACGTTGCCAAATTTACTCCAATAAGAAACGAATTTTCTTGGAAAGTTGCGAACACTCTTCTTCAAATTTTTCAGATAATTTTGTTCCTAATTTGATCTAATATATCTAAAAACTTCAAAGGGGAATATGAATAACTTACCTCAAGAATTCATGTTTTATCTAGAGAGATTTAGCAACTCTCGAATGTTCATACGGCGTCTTTCCACAGCACGGCAGTAATGTGGAAGCGTGTGAAAGTGACAAAAGCTCGAAGCGAAAAAAGATTGAGCCGGTCAGGGGCAACCTTGACCGTGACCGCCCCCGAGATCAAATTAGTTGCGTTTGGAACACATTCATATCTATTTGCAGAGGCTATATTTGCGATGTACACGAATTATCGGTCCAGGTTTTTAACCTCTTGGCAAGATAAATAAGGAAAAATTCATTTAGATTGGCACGAAATTTCAAGGCTCATTACGAGCGTGAAAACTTGTAATGAGTAGATAAGAACGTCTACCTTTCATCAAACGGAATACTTTCGCCTGATTCCTCTAAAGTATCAAGTCCTGCTTGGTCAACTCACAACAAAATTCGACTGTTTTTGGTCTAATACTGTTTTTTCTCTCTATCTTTTTCAATTTATTTATTTACTTGAGACTTTTGGCGTTCAGCGAGCTAAGGCCAACATACCTCACGTTCACGTGGAATACACTAAGCATCTTTACCTTCAAACCGGGAAATTTTTTATTAGAAATTACTAAACCCTTGAAATCTATATGCCTCAAATCTGGACAAAACCTCCGATGAAACATAATAACCAGAAAAATCAAGAGTTTTATTTTATAGATACCTAATCATTTGTTTCTAAAATATATTCATTTCTTTCTGTGGATTTGTTTTTTTCACTAGAGTTTAGCAAAAACTTTCATTAATTTATTAGAGATCTACTCATCAGCATTTTATCAAGCTCATTAAATAAACTGGGAAAAAAAAACATTGGATCTAGATTCCAGACTCTTGAAAACATTGACAAGAAAAAGGACTCTTGATTCAATCAGATTTAAGCTTAAATCAAGAACCAAGCCTCTTAATTTGAGCGGATTTCCTTTTGATTTAAGCTTAAATCTGATTGCATCAAGAGTCCTTTTTCTTGTCAATGTTTTCAAGAGTCTGGAATCTAGATCCAATGTGTGTTTTTTTTTACCAGTAAATTGACTATAATACCTGAAAGTTAATTTTGTTGGTCCTCGATGTCTGCAGGCTAATAAATCTGGCAACCTTGGTTCTTAAAGGGCTCTCGAGCTCTTTCTCTCTCCCTTAAATTGAATTTCTTTCCTGATCAAAAGGATGACAGATGAAAGGAGGGTGATCGTCTCGATCGTTATGCATTGAAGGTGAAACCTCGCGTTAACTTTGAAAATCGACCGCTCGTAAAAACTTGGAGGTACAATGAGATGACCGAGGTCCAACTTGCAAAGTGGCTGAAATGATTTTCTCCTTACTTTTCTTTTCAGTGTCCTTGCATGCAATAAAACATATTGACGGTGAAATGCAAAAATGCATATCGCCGGTGTAAGTCGGCAATCACATAACTCGTTTGCGGTGTCTGAAAATCTCCGCCTCTATATTATTTTTTTAAAGGAGAAAAAATTGACATCATTCCATGAAGTTTTTGCAGAATTTTCTTCGCACAGAGAAGAAAAATCACGGCAGTTTTGAAGAATTGCCGTTGAGTAGTTTTCCGTTTAAAAAATTAAGTGAGACAGGAAGTCGGCGACGTCGCAAACCGAGTTTTGTGATTGCCGACTTACACCGTCGATATCTTGGTTGCGGTGTTTCGAAATCTCCGCTCCTATTTTATTTTTTAAAGGAAGCCAAACCAACATCTTGTAAATGAAATTTTCATAGAATATTTTATTCAAAGAGTAGAAAAATCACTGACATTTTCAAAAAATGACGCTCAGTAGTTTTCCACGTAGAAAATAAAATATTACAAGAAGTCTGCAACGCCGCACACCGAGATACACACTTCTACAGTTTCACCATCGATACATGGTTCAGAGGAGCTATTACGTTTTCGGAACAACCAAAATACACGCTCCTTAACCCGATGGCAAAGTCGAGTCTATAAAATTAGTTCGGCCCGAGTTAATTTACACGCCTTGATGCAACGGATGCAACTATTCGTGCTTAGTGGATGTCGGTGCTGCCTAGGAACAAAAATGAAGGCGCTAAATCTTTCCATTTCCGGCGCAGTAATGCGCGTTGATATGAGTCGTTGGCAGGATGTTGGATGTTGTTGGAAGTTTTCATCAAGTTAGAGACATCAAATGAAGAAAACGCTTATTTGGAGGAAATATCAGGACTCCTAACTGTAAGCCTAGAGGCCTCCATGTGGAAAAGTAGGGGCCCAATGGATGGCATCAGGGCCGGATTTATCTACTTGCCGCCCATGGGCCACCTGTATTTTGCCGCCCCTTTCTCATTCGTTTTGAAACATCAATAAAAACTATCAAGTGAAGTGCCGGCGGGGGAGGGGTGCATAAGACGCGTTTACTCGTGTTGGAAACATTTTTTTGCGAAAGCTCTGTTAACAGTACTAGCAAAATTTCACGGAACTTTGCGTGAAAGTTAAGTTCCGTGAACCTATCTCTGTGTGGACAAGGCCTTCCATTTATAAGAAATGAACAAAAAAATTATGAAAGCTTAATTTCCGCCACCGCACCAATCGCACTGTGTTTGGCGCAATACGTGAAGTATCCATACAGTCTTTGTAGGCGCTATGCGTTTCACGCCGACCGCTAGTTGCTGACCGCACTGTTTTTAACGCAATGCGTGAAGTATTCATGCAGTCTTGTAGGCACCATGAGTTACACCGCAACAGGTTTTTTTTATAGTTCAGCCATCGACATCTCCTAGGTACAAAGTGGCTGTTCCCCCTCACATCTTATATTTTCAAAAGCGCGTATTATTCAGCATTTTTTCATAACACTTCCTGAGATATTATTGAAAAAGCGGATATAAATGACACGAAACTTAGTGCGATGCGTTAATCAGTCTTCCCTTGAAAACGTGAAGCGTGGCAGAAAATCTGTAGCGTCGGAAAACCGTTCTGTATGTTTCTTCAGCTTTGCCATGAAAATTCACATCACAGCGGTGGCGAGGCGAAAATGATCGATAATCGATATTTCCCCATGTGAAGCTTCAGTAAAATATCGAGTATTAAGGAATTCGCTGCGAACACCCTGCTTTCTGCTTATCGATCCTTTTCTATAGATTTAAAAGGCAGAACGATTGATACATCGCAAAGCACACCACGGACCACACCACTGATTCACGGTCGGACAGAGCGGAGCGTATCTTCACAGGTGAAAAAATTTCTTCACATTCTTATTTTTCCAAAGAACCTTGGGCTCTCTCATATTATGGTTTGAGGACATTTCCTCATTAATTCTTGTTTTTTTGCGCACATTCCAGCCAGCAAAAGAGGTAGCAATATTGTCACCGGCAACATTGCCAGGTAAGTAATTCTACCGAAAAAAAAAGTATACATGCAGACATTTTAAAACACCCACATTGCTCCAACATGATTTATGTTTTGTTCGTAATGTTTATAAGCAATATTATAGCAAATTATCCGTCATATTGTACTCGGAAACGTTACTAGCGATAAATCTGTGATTCATATGCATTACCTACACAAAAATCGTCACCAATATTACCGGCAACATTGCCAAATCAAAATTATATGCTGCAAAAATTAAGTGTCTCTTGAATAATGTGCCGTGAATACAAGAAAATCACAGTGTTACCTACAGGCAAGATTGCAAAGGGTTGAAAAACGACGTTTTAGAAACGTGGCAACGCCACTATGACATTGATTCGCCGAATGGGAGAGGTCTTCTCGTAAAACTACAAGCATAATTTCACAGGATTGTGAAAAATTTGACTATGTATTCCCACCCTAAAATTGAAAACTTGGGGCGAGGCGGATCTATTTTTATAACCCTACCAGTTTCAGCCGCGACCACAATCGCCTGGTCGCGAAAAGTCCGCATTCCTGCGTGTTTCGGCCACTGAAATACGAGCGAATATTTTAGGAATGGAGGGAGCTACGTGCGTATCGTCTGGAATGCAGTTTGTTGCTGAATGGAACGACTGCCGAACGCTGAAAGACAGTTTTTTTCGATTTGCCATCATCGAAGGAGATTTACATTCCAGTGGTTGGAACCATCATATTCTCCAAATTGTTTCGCTCGCTCTTATTTCTTTAAATGTTCTTAAAAAGATGCTTTCGGTAAAATTTTACGCTCATCATTTTTATCATGCATAGAGAGATGATGCAGGGTACTCAGATTGCCGAAGATTTACTTGCTTTAGCCTGAGATAGGGGACTCCCCTCCCCCATCTTAAATAGATGCTTTCGGTGAAATTTTACGCTCATCCTTTTTAACAATGCATCTAGATGATGCAGGGTCCTCAGATTGCCGAAGATTTACTTGCTTTAGCATGAGATAGTGGACTCCCCTTCCCCCTACCCCATTGTGCCCATCGAACCCCTCTATCCTGCTGACTCCATCATTTTACTTCAGTTGCACCCTGTAGATTACAGCAATAACCATGTGAGCTGCCATGCTAGGGAAAAACGCCGTATGAACATTCGAATGTTGCCAACTTTACTCTAAAAAATACCTGTTTTTGAGGAAAGTTATGAAAATTTTTCTCTTAAATTTTCAGACACCTTGGATTGAATCACGAACAAAGTATTCTGAAAAATTCGAGGAAAAATATCCTCAATTTTCTCAGTAAATTTGGGTTTTATCGAAGGATACTCGGCAACGCCTGAAGGCTCATACGGCGTTCTTCCTTAGCACGGCAGCGAGCACCTGCATGCTACCTAAGGTAAAATATCGGAATTTCTAGGATGGCTTACCTCCTCCATTTTGCTGACACAGGTAAGGGAACCTCCAGATGTTTCCGAGGCCGACGGAGTATCCGATGATGCTGAGCATGAACTGCATTTTGTTGTCCCACGCGGCGCGCTCCTCGCCGTTGCCTTTCTTCGAGCCGGCGGCCGCCGAACCGGAAACGGATCCACGTGCAGCATTTTGGGCCGCCGGCGTGATCACGATCGTCACCCCGTTGCTCTGGCTCCCCAGCCGCGCGTTAAGCGGCGCTAGCTCATGCCCGCTCCGATTCTCCGTTTTCATCACTATCACTCCACCCCCACAACCACAGAAACAAACGGAAACCTAAATCTAACCGGAAACGGACACCTAGATCTCACCGGAAACGGAAATCTTGATCTTACCGGAAACGGAAATCTCGATCCTACCGGAAACGGAAATCTAGGTCCTACCGGTAACGGAAACCTGGATCTAACCGGAAACTAACACCTGGATCTAACCGGAAACGGACACTTGGATCTCACCGGAAACGGAAATCTAGTTCAACGGAAACGTGGATCTAACCGGAAATAGACACCTGGATCTTACCGGAAACGGAAGTCTCGATCTTCCCGGAGACGAAAACCTCGATCTAACCGGAAACGGAAGCCTCGATCTTCTCCGGAGCGGAAACTTCGATCCGACGGGTGAGAAAAACTTGAATTTCCGGATTCTTTGAAGTCCTACCGGATAAGTGGTGGAAATTACGAACAGATCTAATCGTGGATAAAAATTATTTACACTACAGTGCGTAAATGGTACAAATGTGGGCTTCGGAGGGAGAAAATTTCCAAGTATGAACAACGATTCCTCCGGTACTTAGTGGAGACTCGTTGGTTTTATGAACAACGCCGATATTTAACGAGAAACTGCAACTTATATCGCGCACAGGACAATTGATTCATGAATATTTACACTCGTGGTAACAAGGATCCACCGCGGATGGTTAGCTCTCCAAGATTATGAACCGGAAAGTCAGTGGCACGATTTGCTCGAATTTAAACGTCAACAAATAAAACCGAAGTCCGGCGCGCTTCATATCTTCGGCGGCTCCCTTTGAGTTTCTTGGGCAGGAAATTGAAAAACCGCTGGCAAGTCTTGAGCTTGCCGTTCATGAAACTCGACGAATCAAATGTTTCAAACTGTACCGTCCGTCAAACTGGATGCGACAAATAAACACTGAATTCGGTAGAAAGTTCGCCGCGGTGCGGATGATCACATTTAGAAACTTTGTAAATACAGAGTTGGAGAGAATAATTTCAACTCAGCGTTTTTTTAAAGAGAGAATGTAGAATCAAACAGAGCATGGATTTCCAAATTTATCAGGTTTGTCGAAACTGGAGCGGCACCGAAATGTAAGACGCGACAGTAAGCGATTGCACGAACTCCTGGTTGAAACCGAAGCCGGCAGCACTATGTTCGTTTTCCCGCACGGGGAAAAGACTTACAGCACTATTTTTTTCAATTTCCAAGAGATTCACTAGCGGAATGCGGCGGACGTGAGTGGTAGAACGAAGGTGGAACCGGATTTTGAGAGCGGCACGTGACGGAGGGCGAAAAATTAGGCGCGGGACGGGCGTTGAACCTGGACCGCGACATGCGACTGTCACGCTGAGCTTTCTGCGGCTTGGTCTTCGCGCGTCGGCGGAATTTCAGCCGGCACCCCGCATGCCCACCGCGCCGACTCAGGGTGGCCTCCACAGGGGAGTGGGGTGGGCGTAGCGAGGCTACCTTCCACGCTTCGCCCCCTCCCCCCCGCCCCTTCCCCCGCGCGGACCCCCACCACAGCCCGCGGCTTTCATTGATCTACAATATCATGCGCAAAAATTTCTCCCTCTCTCCGCCGCGTCCACTCCTCCACCGACGAGGACCATTGATAGTGTGCTCTGACGTGCTCGGGAAAAACGCCGTATGAACCTTCGGAGGTTGCCAAATTTTCCTCGGTAAAAACCGAATTTACCGGGGAAATTGTGAATATTTTTTTCCAAAGTTTTCTCAAAATTTTCTCACCCAATTTAATCTGAGACATATGAAAGTTTCCAGGAAAAACATGCATTAATTTCGTCAAAAATACATGTTTTATCGAGGGAAATTTGACAACTCTCGAATGTTCTTACGGCGTTTTTCCTGAGCACGGCAGCGTTGATGGTGTGCTCGGGAAAAACACCGTATGAGCCTCCTGACGTTGCCGAATCTCCCATGATAATTTGTTTATTTTTGGGGAAATTATGGATATTTTCCCTTGGAAATATTCAAGATTAAATTGTGTAAAAAATTGTGTGAGAAATTGGAAGAAATTCATCCGGAATTTTTTCTGGTAATTCGTTTTTTGTCGAGGGAAATTCGGCGACGCCTGAAGGCTCATACGGCGTTCTTCCATGACAGGGCGGTACTGGAATACGCTCCGATAATATCGGGACGGTGGATTGTCATCTCCTACCTCCGTTAATGGGATTTGTAGGTTAGAGCCAGAGGAGAGCGCTTTTTCGCCAAGAGGCTGGACTCCCTGTGCGGCTTATATTCGTGCGTCGTCACTGCTTGGTCATATTGCTAGGGAAGAACGTCGTATGAATTTAAGTGTTTCCAAATTTCCCCCGAATATATTTATTTTGAAGAAAACCACCTATGTATGTTTTTCATTAAAATGTTTAGGTATTTTTAATTAAATTAGGTATCAACAAAGTTGAACGAAAAATTGAAAGAAAAAATTCAGAATTTTCTGGGAAAATCGGTTTTTATTATGGTAAGTATGGCAACGCCTGAAGGCTCCTAAGATGCTTTTCCTCAGCGCGGCAGAATACACTGCGCGGTTTGCAGACTTCGTGCCGCGCGATTTCTTGAAGGTACCTACCTATGACCCCTCTCCTCTTTTTGAAAAGCATTTTTGGAACATTTTCAAGCACAAAAACTTGCTCCTTTGCCTTTGAAAAAATAAAAGTGAGGCAGACATTTTCGAAGATGTCGTTTCTCAGGCAAAGCATGTAAATGCGTTTCTCCAGAAGTCCACATTTTCACACTCAATTTTATTTTTACCAGGAAACATTCGGGCGTTTCTAACTGAAAAAATGACCGATTTTTCACCTGCATGAGTACTCGCAAACATTGGCAGAGTTTTCGACAGAAACCGCGCAGTTGAATTAAGCAAAAAATTTACTTGAAGTCGAAGTATGAATAATACACAACTTTGAATTTTCTGCATTATTTCGCGCTGTATGCACTAACAGGAAGTAACGTTTGCCGGAAATATTTGACATGACAGAAGTCGGTATTGCCGTGCTGAGGAGGAACGCCGTATGAACCTTTAGACGTTGCTAAATCTCCTTTGATAAAATACGCATTTTCGGGCAAATCTGAGGATATTTTCCCTCCAATTTTTCGGCGAATTTTATTCGCAATCAGATCCAAATTATCTGAAAATTTCAAGAGATAATATTCATCATTCCTCTAAAGAATAAAAAAAATTGTTGGAGGAAATTTGGCAACTCTCGAATGTTCATACGGCGTTTTTCCTCAGCACGGCAGGGTAGTTGGTATTATGATGAGAGCTCAAGACTTATGACAGAGATTCATTTTAAATGTTCTCATCAGGGTTTTACAGCTCAAATATTGTCGTCGTCACGGGGAGGATTAATAAGAAAATTGGAACTCACAATCATCGAAGGCGGTCATATAAGATTGCGCAAGCTGTGCGGCTTCATGAGGTACCACGCACCATGCCAAGAAAGGCGTCGAAATAGTTGCCCAATATAGGATACGTCTAGCCGACGATTGCGCAAGGCGCGTCGACACCGACGGCTTGCCAGCACCGGCAAGAAAAACGAAACCTGTGCGCCTACATTCATTCGCATAGGCAATACGGACAACTACCAAGCGCGAATAGTTGTATCCGAGCCTCAACATGATATTGCACATATCGACAGTGAAACTCCCGAACCACGTATCTCGGTTCGCGACGTTGCAGACTTCCCGTTATACTTTATTTTTTGAATGGAAAATTACTCAACGTCAATGGCATTGCAAGGAACCAAGAATATTCAAACAGCACTCAGATTGTGGACTTTTTTTTACCTTTCAAATATAAACTGATCATCTGAATAAGCTTTATCTTTACTCCCGTTAAATTATGAATTCAAGACGGAAATTACCTTTGTAAGTTTAATTTTTTTAATGAGTTCAGTGTTTTTTTGCAAAGAATGAAAATTGCACAACCGTAGCAACATAGGAATGCTTTGGGATTTTTTTTTTTTTTTTTTTTTTTTTTTGCAAAATGCAATCCAATTGACGGGCTTGGAGGACGAGGTGTAAGTACCTTTAAAAAATGGAGATATGCTTTCAAGTAAAACTAGTCTTAATGCATATTCTGTGAAAAATTCGCTCCCCAATTCCAATTTTCAAGCACCAAAAAGTAAGTTTGAAATTTCTTTCCGCCATGAGGATCAATGTAATTTCAAAACTACGAACACGTAGGTATTTCTCGAACTAGCGATAACTGCACTGATGCGCCTCGTCCTTCAAACCCCTTGAATCTTCAAAATCTCCGAATTTTTCTTCGAACTTCAAGAATGATAACGATTTACTCTCCTCTAAAAATAATAAAGTGGGTGCGGAGATTATTAAACACAACAAATGAGGTTGGTGGTTTGGGACTATCACCGTCGATACCGTCTCCTAAGCGTAATTTTTCGCCCTCGGCCTAGTGCCGCATTCACAAATGTGACAGTATCATCATGCGGCTCTCATTTTCCGCATTCCCTTCATTCTCCTGCAAGAGGAGTTGATTATGAATGTGGTGGAACTTATAGATGACACTTTTTCAAGTTTCGCGAAGTATTTCTCCTAGTAGTGAAAATGAACACCGGCTGAACCGGCTCATAATGGATCGAGTCGATAGGATAGGTCGGACAAAATTTGGAAACTGTATAACAGGGCCGGATTTACCTACTTACTTGCCGCCCATGGGCCGCCTGTATTTTGCCGCCCCCATCTCATTCGTTTTAAAACATCAATAAAAACCATCAAGTGAATGTGCCGGAGGAGGAGGGGTGCATAAGACGCGTTTACCTACTCGTGTTGGATACATTTTTTTGCGAAAGCCCTGTCAACACTACTATAGCAAAATTTCACGGAACTTGACGCGAAAGTTAAGTTCCATAAACCTATCTCTGTGTGGACAAGGTCCTCCAATTATAAGAAATGAACCAAAAAATTATGAAAGAACAAACATAAATGTGGTTTAATAATTTTAACTTCGCGCCGCTGCGCCGCGCTGATCGCACTGTGTTTAGCGCAATGCGAGAAGTATTCCTGGAGTCTTGTAGGCGCTATGCGTTTCACGCCAACCGATCCTGACCGTGACCGCACTGTGTTTGGCGCAATGGGTGAAGTATTCACGCAGTCTTGTAGGCGCTAATATGTGTTACATGCCGACCGCTGCGCCGAAGGCTTGTCCTTTTCATCTCAAGTCCTCGTCATCATTCCTTTCTGTGCTGAGTTCCAGGCCAAATTGCGTATTTAGTTCCTCTCTCAATTCGACTAATTAAAGATGCTGTCTCTTGTATCACCGAAAAACTACAAAATTAGAAATTACTTTATTCTCAGGAGAGAGAGATTTTGTCCCCTTTTCTCATTGATAATTTTTTTTTCTGAATCCGTTTTTTTTTTTTTTTATACCCACATTAAAAAAAATGCAAAATTTGCCGTCATGGGCCGCGGCCCATGTGGCCACCCCCTTAATCCGGCCCTGCTGTAATAGCTTATAACTTGCATATCGACGGTGAAACTACCAAACCACGTATCTCGTTTGTGGTGTTTAAAAATCTACGCTCACATTTTATTTTTTTGAAGTAGACCAAATCAATATCATTCCTTGAAATTTTCACAGAATTTTCTCCGCACGAAGAGGAAAAATCACAGAAATTTTCAAGACTGGACGTTAAGTAGTTTTTCATTTAAAAAATAAAGTATGACAGGAAGTTTGCGACGTCGCAAACAGAGATACGTGGTTTGGTAGTTTCACCGTCGATATACAAAACTTTAAGGTTCCAGAAGTGGTTTCATTGATTTCTTCGTGAAATTTTCTTCTAGAAGCACCTGTTACAATTTAAACTGTGACGAAATGAACATCAAAACATGCAGTTTTAGTAAAAAACTTCATGTCCGACCTCTCTGATTGACTCGATACTCTGTGCGGCGGCTTTGATTTCAATCAGGAAATCAAGAAATCGTTTACTTCTCAGTTCTCACGGTGAGTCTTTCCTAAATTCGGTGCCGCTTGAATTTCCACGCACTTGAGAAAAACGCCTAATGCACAAAAGCGCCAGAGTGGGTGCAGGGGATTCCTAAAATTGTTCTCCATGGCATAGGCGTACCTGGGAAAGGATCAAAAGAGGATCACAGGATTGAAAGTTCGTCCAACCAACTCTGATTTTATACTGAATGAAAATCAGTTTGCAGCCTCAAAGGGTTGAGGATTCTGTTTTTCTCCATGTAGATTAAAAAGCAGAATTCAGGTACTTTGCTCGGAAATTCAGGTGCTTGGCTCGGCAATTCAGGTGCTTTGCTCGGCAATCTATTTTAAATAGGCAGTGGCTCTTGTTCTGCAGAGACTGATTGAAAAATGTGACATGCGCAGAAAAAAAAAAAATTCGCTGCAGTAGGTAACATCCCGGTTGTTAAAAATCTGCGCAACAACTCTTAAATGTTGTTGTGGACACTCTGGCTGTTAAAGTAACATCCTAACTATGTTGAATCAACATTCAAGAGTTGTCGCGCAGATTTTTAACAGTCGGGTTGTTACTTCGGCAATTTTTTTTTTTTCCGTGTGGAATTAGACAATCAGACATGGATTTCATTTTGTTTTTGAAATGGAATCAAGTTTGATTTTTTGAGCAAAATTACCACAGACTGAATACAAGATTTTTGCAACAATAACAGGCTTCAGTTTTTCTGTTTGTCTACTGCAAATTTTTTTGACTCAGAAAATCAAACTTGTGCACATTGATCACATTTCTAATTTTGAATGTAAGTAAAGCTGTGAGAGAAAATGCGAAAAATTTTAAAACATCATGATTAACAAGACAAAATTTTATTTTAAATTAAAAACAAATAACATAAAATAAAATTTTCTACTTTGGATGAACTAGTTTACATAGCTCCAAAGATAATTCCAACATCAATTAAAATTTAGGATGCGTGAACACTTCAGAGAACTGAATCTGAAAATCTGGCACAAATGTAGGTAATGCGATGACAGATCATTGAAAGTGAACGGAAAGAATGATAAGAACATAAAATTTGGGGGTGGAAAATTTACAATACAAAGATTATCATTCTTAATTTATTTCATATGTTGATGGTAAACATGTCCGGTTACATACGAAAAATCAAACAGAAAATTCACCAGAGGAACTTAAACTTTAAAAACATCTCATCTCTTTTTCCAGACATTTTGCTTATAAGAGGTTAAGCCTGTGAAACCGGAATGATAATTCTGTCAGATCTAGTAAACCATGAATTACTTAAAAAGAAAGTTAAATTTCAGTCACATCAAGCGAGACACAGGCACAAACACAGATTGAAGCATATTTCAATAATAAACAGTCAAAAAAAATCAGTGACGTATATTGAAAGACAGTTATGAACCACATGTCAGAAATATTAGAAGATAATTCCTTTGGAAACTCGGATTTTTACTAACTTTGTGTACCAACCAACTTAGTGTTGGTATATCTTGGATGCATGTTACTGCCTACGGGTACCTAGGTACTTGGATTTAAAAAGTTCTTTTGGATGATGAAACTTCCAAACCACATATCTCCTTTGCCGAACTTGAAAATCTCCACTTCTGTTTTATTTGATGATAAAAGTAAACAAATCATAATCATTTCTGGAAGTTTGTTTTCTTAGGATATGCTTCGCACAGGGAAGAAAAAGAAGAAATGACGTTGAGTAGTTCTCTGTTTAAAAAATAGAGTATTACAGAAAAACTGACATGTTGCAGAGCGAGATTCATGGTTTGGGAGGTTTCACCATCATAACTTTCTAATAGGAGTAAAGAGTTGATGATGAAAGCCACCAGGCTCTGCAGAGAGTGATAGAAGATTTTTATTTCGCTGTGATGAGATGAATCTTCTATGAACATCTTTCCTGGGAGCCCTTCCTCAGCCGTAAATGGGCGACTTAACCTTGAGTGTACTCAGGACTGCAGTTTTTTGTTGATTGAAAGTGACATAAACAATAAAATAAAATCTTATGTAAGATGGAGGAGCTTCATACTGTGATTGGAATAATGTCTGGAAGCAATGAGCTATAAGAGTACAGCTTGATTCTGGGACTAGAGAAACCAGTTTTATCCACATTTCAGAAAACTAAAACGAAACTTGACCATCCATCCGCTAAATTCATTCGGCTGGATGGGTGCTTAAGATAAAAAATATAGATAAGGACATACAAGTTCAGGATGGGGTTCCTTACAACTATAAGCAATCTGGAATGTAACTTAAAACAAAAAGGTACATTAATTTTAGAGCCTAGTAGGCAAAAATATTTGACTTTCACAATGTAATTATTTTAAATTTTAATACATTCTGTAATAAATGTGAATGCTACTCACTCTTCACCAGCACATCAAACAATCAAAACTTAAAGTCAACAGGAAGAACAAATCAGAAATTGTGTTCAAAGGAAAGAAAAAAAAGGAAACTAAAATTACAGCTGCTACTCAAAACATTGAATTAAATAAAATATAGGAACCTATAATCAACTGAACTTGCTGAATTGAAAATTTATTCACTCATGCACAAAATCTTACTACTGAAGCAAAATGCTTTGTTAAATCTGTAATTAAGAACCAAAGAAACGTAACTACTTAAAATTTTTTGAAAAAATTAAGGTATCATCACTCTCGACATATTTAGTCAGAGATCATTTATGTAAATAAATTGATAATCATATACAACACTACGCTCAAGATATAGGGTTTTTAAATTTGCAAAATACGCTGCAGGCAATGAAACTGTCGAATCATTCATCCGAGATTTCTCAAATTGGTGAAAATGTAGTTGCTGTTCTTTGGCTCTTAACAACAAAAATAGTCTTTTATAATATGATAACGATTTTTTATTACAAGGCTCAAAATTTAAAGCTTTTTCGAGATTAAAGATTTAGATAGAAAATGCCTAACTTATTTAAATTAATCATTTTCCCCCTACCTCAAATAGCGAGAAGTCATAGGAAGTACAGAGTGAAAACTTTGAAGGTGGTTAATCATAACACAGTGAGCTAACAATATTTAATGCTCACTCATACAATGAGAACCACCAAGAATTCATTATAACATACTTAGTGGAAAATAATGATTTATTTTCAGATCTCCTTTACCTAATAAATAAAATTCCTCTGTCAAACCATCATTTATCAAATGCAACTTCGTCAGATTTTTTGGAACTTGCACGACTCTAAAGTAAAAAATGCGGTAGAAACTTTTTAATTTCTTTTTCTTAGTCATAAAAAGGGATCAGTTTACTTGAGTGGTACGAACACAAACAGTCCAAGAAAAATGAAAAAAGTGAAGCGGTAAATGCAATATGATAGTTTGAGAGTCAGTAAAAACTTATTCATACCTCCTCACTAGGGGAAGAAGTGTCAAGCTTGACCGGAAGTATTGATTTACATGCTAGGATTGAAAGGAATAAAATGTGTGCCCAGACAACCACAAATTTTGGAAATGACACTTAAGTTTTTGGAAGTTGACATTGCTTTTTTTAAAAAATCATAATTTTATTCTCTGTTTTTAAAACTTATTTGTATAAATATTAATAAGTACACCTTACATAATATTTAATCCTTTCGATTTCTTATCTAAAATTCCTGGCTCAAACTGCCAAATTCGAAGTTCTGCTGATCTAAAGTCTGAGTCTATAAGACTTTAATTGCAAGAAGAGATCATGACAAACCGCTTTCAAAATTGTTTTTAGGAGAGAATTTGAGCCTTCATTTGATAGTAGGAAAGAGCAAAGTAGTTAAAACAACGGAAAAAAATAATGTTTTCTAATTAATGGACTGTCTACATACTAACAATACTAATTAATAAGGACTGCTGGTAGGGCATTTAAGTTGATAAGTATGTAAGCACCCTCTAAAGTTTATCTATTATAATTTAACTTTCTAGGTTCTTCTTTTTCTACAAAGATTCACGGAAGAGTTTGACATTTTAGATGAATGGGAACAAAAGAGGAGTATTCATTCAATTAAAACAAATTTTTGGGAGGGATAACGAGAAATAATTTTAAGAGAATTTTGCTGATAAAAGAAAGTATAACAGAGTTCTTCCCACTTTCATTGATTCAATGAAATTTTGCTAAGAAGGAATACATTTATAATCACAGCATGAGATAAGACAACATGTGATGCAAAAATAAACACTAAAGAGGTCAACTAAAAATATTCAAATAAAAATAAAATGTTTGAAGATACACAATTTGTTTCCAGATTTGCACTATCGAAAGGCAAAACTATTCTACTCAACTCCGATGAAGAGTTAAAATGCTAAGGCTCAATATTTGGACCATATAATAAAATATATACATCCGATAAAAATATGATAGACTTCAGAATTCAAGAAGATACACCTTGACCTTTTCATTCAGACAAACCATTTGTAAAACAAGCATTTCTTTGGCATAAAATTACTCTCGGCATGATTCCCTTTGTAGCCTTCATCACATAAAAAAGTTGTAGAAAAGTTATAAAATTATTCTAACTCTTCGACAGCTTCCCATCAATTTCTTGCTGGGAAAACTACTTGAAGTAGCAAACGTCACCAAGCTCTTCTACTACCCTTTGTTGGTTACACCACCATGACCGTACAGACAGTCGACAAGTTTCAAGAACTGATAGAGAATGCAAACACTATGAAGCGTATGATCTATTGTTCTAATGAAATACATTCAGTGTCCCCAAGAGTCTACAAGAATGAAGTATAGGGGGAGGAAGATAAAAAATAGATTTAATTTCTTTTTCGACCATCAAGTTCATGATTTCAACTGAAGGAAAGTTATAAAAAAAGTAGTTCTCATCTGAAACATGCATACTGCACTCGTTTACAGGTGTATGGAAACCTTAAGATAGGGAAAGCTTTTCTCCAGATACTTGATGTCCGTACGCTACTCGTTCCAGTATAGGTGATTCTCATACTATATGGGCATTTTTTCATTCTTGAGAACACTGAATACATCCCTGACTGCATTGTAATGAGAAATACATTCAGAGATTTGAGTATAATATGTTGGGACAGGTCAGCGCACAATGTTCTATTAACTGATATAATGTCAACAGTTCCTTATAATGATGAAATTTATTTGAATTGGATTTAAGCATTGTAAAAATACTTTTTTTCTATTTCGTCTGACAATACCAAAAAACTGATGTTTACAACTTTTTCATTGCTTCAAATTTGCTTGATTGAAGAGAGAATCAAAATTAATGCCAAATATGTTGATAAAAAATACATGGAATATAATTTGAGACATGCTTGTGAGTCTTTACCCCTTCGAATCGTCATTAAAATCTGAGACGTAACTACCTTCTCAATAATGGACAAAAATTTGACTGCTGTGTGTCAAAGGAGGTACAGCATGGTTGCCATTGACGTATTGTCAAGGTAAAGAAGTGAGAATGTTACTTCAAGTCACCAATAATCTCATTCAAACCATCAGAAACCATCCAGGAAGAATCATTGAAAGATTTTTCTAATTTTTACTGGATCATCATTTTTTTGTAGGAGTGACCGTATGTATCATAATCTTGTCATTAGAAACAATATCAGATAAGTTGGCAGTTGTTAACTTTTGACTGATCAGACAGTTTTAGTATTATCCCCTCAGAGGAAGGTACTGGTTTTCCGTATTTGCGCACAGCGGCACCACAGTATCCTTGTCACACTTGGTCTATACTCAATTGGTATTGGACAGTGGCAGCGCAGTTGCTTGTAAACGCAAAGTAAACAACTGCCAATTATATGACACGAGTTTTAGACATTAATCCTACGTCACAACAACTCCTGACTGAAGATATTAATGCTCAAGGAGATTGTTCATCAATATTTCTTGTCTTTAATTTTAAGGATACATCTGTGAAACAAAGACAATTGAAAGATGAGTATGTATTTCATTCAATATTCCTGGGTGGTTCAAATGAATATTGAGTGGGGAGAGGGTGTTCCGGAAGTTGAAAGATAATTTACTTATAAATAAGACAGTTTAATAAAAATGCCTAGGTCCTTCTTAATCTCTCGTATTATAACTAGCGATTCAGAATATTTGTATGATATGACATAGAAAGAAATGTGTAGAGGCTAGAATTGAAATAATCGCAAAGTTCTGCAATATAATAGGTTTTCAATTGAAATATGTAGCTGCATAAAATATTCAATACAAATAACTTCAAGATAGATAAATTTGACTAGAGTTGCATAAGTTTAACAAAATAACAAATAATTACCGATAAACTATTAACACAGGATCAAGTAACTCAACACCTTTAGCATGGAGCCTCTGATTTAGGCGAAGAACTCAACTTTAGGAGATAGTTCATACTCGATCTCATCATTTTTGTAGTACTCCAAAAGCTGAAATGAAATGAAAACAGAAAGATGAAACACTTTTACATGTGAAAAACAAAAAATTTATCATTTCAAAAACCAAAACCTTCAAGATTGCAATCGTACATTGAGAGTGCTGACTGAAGCTGGAAAATTAAATTATTCCTTGATTACTAAATTGCTTATCAATACCTACAAAAAATATGGAAAAGAATTTCTCGACCTCTCAGTTTATTACATTGATTGTTGGAAGCAGTGTTCGAAACTCACCTTTGAGTTTAAGGAGCCATGTGGCGCATCAAACCCGATTTTTAGGCGCCATTGAAGATTTTTTAGGGGCCAAATCGACTTTTTATATTACAGCGCATTTGGTGAAAAGTTGTGAATCGTGAAAGTTGTGAAAAGTTGACGCAAGATGTTTTTGTAACAGAACTAGTAAGTTGCTGTAACTTAGGGAGGACAAAAGCACTAAGGATGAAATCATGAAGAATAGAAAAAGCAAGCTTTCACTTGTAGTGCTCAAAATTCTGAGTTTTTCAATTCAAATAGATTTGTTTTTCTTTTTTAACGTGACTTCTTGTGAAAATTCAGATTTTTAGGGGGCAATTTGTAGGGGCCACGTTGGCGCAGAGCCTTCATTTTTTAGGCACCATGGCCAATTTTTTAGGCGCATTTGGCGCGTTGGCGCCTGTGAGTTTCGAACACTGGTTAGAAGGTTCTGAGACCATCTATTTCAAGACAAACTATATATATTTTCAACGATGACTTTTAGTTGAGAGAATAAAAGAGCTGTTAAAAAAGTTAGATGAAGAGATTTTAGTTAAAACTAGAATTTTTGCAAGCCATTGCTGCCAATGAAAGTAAGAGAAAAAATGAGACATATTTAAATTGTTGTAAAATAAGTAAATATAGTTAAAATAGCCAAAATGGTTGAGAACCAATTTGAATGCGTAAAGGAAGCTTTAAAATATTGAGTCTGCAGGCACAAGAGGATTGAAAATGAGATGAAGAATTTCCAGTAATTCAAAGTAAAACAATAACAAGGGATAGGCAAAGAAGTACTCACATTACTAACTTCTGTGACAAGATCTTTCTTCCACTTGTCATGTTTTGCTGCTAGTTTCTCCTTTTCTTTAACTTGCTTCATCTGCATGAAAAAGTTAACAAAGTAAAAATCATTCATTGAGTATTACGAGAAATCTTAATATATAAAGTCATTACATAATGGGGCAACAAAATAAAGTTGTATCCCATCATATTGTTTCTCAAATAGCATTCATTTGATCAAGTCCCTATTGGCTATTGTTTTTAAATTGTGCTTAAAATAACATCATTCCAGAAAGAACGTTCAAACTTTAATGCCCCTTTGGCTGTTGCAACGAGATACCACTGTATACAAAGCAAAAATGAAGATGTGATAATAATGTCTTCCCAGCAAAACCACACGAGGACTTGGAAAAATAAAATCATTCAATCTTCGTTTTTTAGATGATATTCAGGTATGATAATCACTAAATTGAACTTTCTACAGTTTTGCCATGATAAGGTATTCGACACTTGAAAATAAAACTAGAGAAAATAAATGAATGAACGAAGATACTTAGGTTCAGAGTGGAGATCTAGTGAACATGCCAAACAATGATGTTAGACATTTTTGAGGGAAAGGAACAAACCTGTGCAAATTTTCGCTCCTCCATAAATTTTTTCGTATTGTTCTGTTTCTTCTCTCGCAGTCTCCTGTCTTTCTCTCCTTTCGTTCGCAAAGTTTTATCATTTTGCACCTCTTTCATTGTTTCTACTGAGATCTTGGCTTGCCTGGCGTTCATTTCTTTTAAATCCCTATAACAAAGCAACCACAGGAAATTACTATCGACAAAAGATTATTCGGGGAGTTTTCCATTTTATTTGTTTCATGCAATAACTTTAAATCAAAGTATGAGGTAATTTTTACTTTCTCGCTCTCTTAGTTTTTACATGTAGCAACAAATATTTTTCCAGTTCAACACTTATTGATATTTTTCTTATATATTATTTTCCTTTATATGTTTTATTTACATGAGAAGTTGAGGACATAATAACTGATGCTGACATTATTTTCTACCAAAGACTTGATTTTAAACAACATATTTCTATTATCACCTCAAAATAAAACAAATAACAATAGTCAAGGAACAATGATGCTAACTTGTAGACTGGCGATTTTACAGGACTAAAGCAAAACTTTGCTGCTTTTGTAATTCTGAGGTTGTTTCAATTGTTTTTATAAAATACAGCGTCATTACAGCGCTCCCATGCGGAATTGGAAAAAACTAAAGACATCATCTTAGGTATTCTATACTGTAGAATCCAGCAAACTTGCTGACTCACTTTTGCCAAAATTTCAGTTAAACAATAACGTTACTTAGCCCTTGATGAGTATGATAAAATAACTTATTGCTAGGGGCATGAACAGTGCTAATTTTCAAATTAATGGGTCAGTTGCGCTGGTCACAGAATTGTGTTTTGATACTTGATTCTTGTAGATTAGCAAAAAATATTAAGATCCATCCAAACTGCAACTTTCTACGTTCAATATTAATCAAGATATCGCCCTTTGAAGAGTTGAGTTTTTAACGTCATCCATCGCAGTTGTGACACCCTTAGTTTCTTCCACCTTGCTTTCATCCGCGTTTCACGTGGAGATACCAGAGCTAATGTGTGTCTCCCTGACTGATAAAACCGAGGTGGAAGAAACCAAGGGTGTCACTACCTCGGTAGATGACGTCAAAAACCCAATTTTTCAAAGGGCGATATCTTGGTTAATATTGAACGTAGAAAGTTGCGGTTTGGACAGATCATAATATTTTTAGCTCATCTACTAGAATCAAGCATCAAAACACAATTTTACCAGCACAACTGACCAATTAAATAGATTATATCTGATTTGTTTGGTGTGAGCCAAATTTCCAAAAATGTTAGGAAATTAAAGGTTTTCCGTGATGCTTGTCAATCTGTTCAACCAATTCCCGAAGGAACAGATGGTTCAAAACTTCTTCTTTACTAATAACTAGGGCACGGCAATGTTTGTCAAGCTCTCGAATACAAGGCACAGTTACATCACTAATAAGTAAATCATAAAAAAATCATCTAATAAAGAGAGAGAGAGCAAAAAAATTAAAAAGAGAGAGGGAAATAATACCTTTCAAATTTACTCTCCAATTGTTTGAGCTGGTTAGCTTGAATGGTTTCCATTAATTTGTCTAAAGTTTCTTGCTGCTCCTGAACTTGCTGTTTCAACAGAGCCCATTCCTCCTTTCTATGCCTTTCAACCAGCTCTGACCACTGTACTGTCTGCTCCTGAACCAACTTCTGAATTGAGCTATCAGTTGACATATCAGCACTCCTAGAGAATAAAAAACGTGTCAGTTAAGTAAAGTCGCAGCAGGATGCAACTCTTGCCTGAGAAAAAAATTATTCCATATTGGTGCCTTCAAACTACGCCTTTTTAAGGCTAATTACAATCTTAGCAAATCTTAAAAACTTTTAGAGTTGACTAAAATAAGTTTACGCGCTTTAAGACTGCAACAAAAGAACAAGTGACATCAGTTGAGCATTGAGAGTAAATGCATGAATGAAGATGTCGGATCTTCTGCTGCAGTCTACAAGCATGTAAACATATTTGATTTTGACTCCTCGAATCATTAGAAAGGGAACCTATGAAACACTGTTAGTTATTTCACTGGCTCAGATACAATACTCTCAAAAAGACATGGAATCAAATGGATTTTTAACTGCGGCACAAGTTTGACAAAGTAATTTACCTGCATATAATTACATTTTTGGCTCACAGTGCTTTTGTCTCAGAAAACTTACATATTCACAAAGTTCCTGTAAAAATTGTGAGGCTTCGTGAGCTTTTTATGATATCCAAACAATTTTGCAACTCATATAACTCTCTTTTAAGTGCTGGAAAATTTTTCAAAGGCTGTGACACAAAAAATCAATTCAAGACATCAAGTTAGTAAATTCAGATATAGAGGTATATAGGAGATATAGAGGTTTGTATAGAGGTTCATTCCAAAAAGTTCTAAATTCAGAAGATAAGATGAAAGGTATAAAAAAATGACATCTTACTTTTTCATTTTTGTAATTTTCTCAACTGCTGCAATTTGGTTTTTCTGCATTGTCACCTTCTCCTTCATGTGTCTCTTGCGAAGTGCATCTAGATCTTTTTGCTGTTTTTGCCCAGTCTTCTTGAAGCCTTTATCATTGCGCAGGTACTCCAGCGTAATGGGCTCGAACTTGAGTTCCTCCTCCTCTTTCTTCTTCTCCTCATTTTTCTTGTTCTTACTGCCTTTTTTGCCTCCTCCTGCAGCTGCTCCATCGCCTCCACCAGCCACGATGTCTTTGGTGTTTATATCAGTTTCTTCGATACCCATGGCTTTCATTTGTTGGGCTCTCTTTTCTTGGGCTGATAAGAAAGCTCGAGGATCAGACAGAGCAGCCATGAAATCTATTGAACATAAGAGGCAAGACTTAAATGGAACAGTCAGTTTAATTTTAAAATATTAATTCATGTTTCCAAACATTTAGAATGATGAGTTCCAAATCTCTGTATGAACAAGTGGCCCAAGAACATAAAAGACAGCCTTTATGTCAGAGTAAGCCTCAAAGCGCTTAGGAGCACATGCTATAGGACCACTTTTGTTGTAATTTATTCATCATTTTATTTTAAGTGTCAAGACCCGTTCAGACGGTCTACCAGTCTGCACAGCCGGCTCCCTTAAAAGCATGTAATGGGCCTGTTGCAAACTTTTGCTAGAGCAAAACTAAGAGTTATTTCTTATAGATAATGCCTCAAAAATCACGATGAGCGCATCGGCAAACTCTGAAATGCACTCATAACTTCACAATCTGCGTAAGAAATTTGCG